ATTCTAGGTCAGGTCTCACCAAGGGAGCACAAAACTGCAGCAAGACATTATTACTCAAACCCCCATCTTGAAATGAATGCCAATATACCATTTGCCTTCCTAATTGTTTTCTGCACATATATGCTGGCTTTCAGTGACTCATGGACAAGGACACCCGAACCCCTTCAAACACACACTCCCAAATCTCTCACCATATAAAAATTATCCTGCCTTTCTGCTTTTTCTATTAAAAAGTGGATAACTTCACACTTCTGTACAGTTTATTTTGTTTGCCATGTTCTAGCCCATTCACTTTGCCTGCCCAAGTCTTATTGAAGCTTCCTTGCATTGCCCTCAATTTATATTCCCACCCAGTTTGGTGTAATCTGCAAATGTAAAAATACTATAGTTGGCTCCTACATACAATCATTTACATTACATGCTGTGAACTGTTGTGGACCTAGCTCTGATCCACTAACAAACTGCCATTAAGAGAATGATCCGTTTATTCCTACTCTGTTTGCTTTCCTACTCACCAATTCTTAACCTGTACTAGTATATTCCCTGCAATCTCACATGCTCTATAGTTTAATCACAAACATTCTTCGTGGGACCGTATCAAAAGTCTTCTGATAATCTAAATATACTACATTCATTGACTCTCCTTTGCCTCTACTACAATTAAGATCCTCAAAAAACTCCAAATAAGTTTGTCAAATACGAGCTCCCTTTCATATATCCGTGTTGACACTGCATAATTTTTGACATTCTTTTCCAAATGTGCCATTATCATATCCTTTATAATATCTAGATATCAGTATGAGGGAAAATGCCAGAAACTGTTGGGTCTGTAGTTCTCTCTCCATCCCTTCTTAAATAGTACAGTCAAATTTCCCATCTTCCAGTCTGCAGGAACCTTTCAGGATTGAGAGGTAATCATCAATGTATCCAATACGTCTCGAACACGTCACCTCCTTCAACACGCTTGGATGAAACTCAGTTGGTCCAGAAGATTTATCAATTCTCAGATCAGATAATTTTTCAAAGTATCACCTCTTGACTAATACTAATGTCTTTTAGCTCTTCAGTTGTACAAGTCCTTAGTCAGCCAGCATTTCTGGGAAGCTTCTCTGCATCTTCTTCCATGAAGCCAAATGTAAAGTAACTGTTTAATTTCTGTTACTTTTACACAGACTTTCCAAAGCTCAATATCCACCACCTAGAAGAACAAGGCCAATGCTGTCATAAGAATACGACTACTTGCAAATTCCCTTCAAAGTCATACGTCATTCTAACTTGGAATTAATGTTTCTTCACTGTCAAAAGGACAAAATCCAAGAATTCCCTCCCAACTGTGTTGAGAGAGACCCTCAGCAGATGGATTCCAGAGATACCAGAACACAGCTCATCACTATCTTCTCCAGAAAAATTTGGGATGGGTAATAAATGCTAGCAAATAATGAACAAGATAAATGGTTGGGGTGGGAAGTTTTTTAAAAAAAAAAATTGCTTCCAAGCAATCTTTTACATTCAATCGTAATACACAGAATCATTGCAACAAGATGCAATGTTGACACCAAAAACATTCAATAATTTTAGAACCTGAACACCTTCTCCCATGTCCTTTATCCACTCCCTCACCTCTGGCTCTGTCATCACATGGACTGCTTTCAGCACAGCCAAAGCATGGTCCCCATCATCAGCTCTCCTATCTCCTCGGCTTACCATTTCCTCTAGTCCAAGAAGGCGGTGGTGTAGGACTCCTGTGCCAGAGCTAATCCACTCCGACTGCTTTCCATCGCTTTTCTTTTATTGCCATTTACTTACCTTGTCCCGAGCTTGGATGGCATTGTCAATGGCGAAAACCCAGTGTGTGGACCTCCAGCGGACCCAGGGTACAGACCTCGTGCGGTCTTGAGCTGGGCCGAGGGTGCAGACCACAAATGTGGAGATTCCCTAGCGCGGAGGACGGTGAGTCCCTATTTCGTTTTCTAGAGCAAGCACAAGAACCAGAATCAGCAGCTGCTACATCAGAGGCGTCTTCGGCGAAGCAATGGCGGAAGGACATCATGGTAACATTGATGAGGTGGGCCCAGCAGTGACAGATGTGACTCTGACATTGGTTGATCGGGCACAGTTGGAGGTGAGGTGGTGGCAGAGGAGTATTGGCCCAACAGCAAAGATGGTGCCTGAGGATCAGCGACTTTGATATTGGTCGGGTCTACAGTAGATGGTGAAGTGGCAGTGGAGGGATAGTGGTGCAGGCATTGTTGAAGGGGATGAGCTGGTTCAGGACTGATGGACTCTCTTCAAGCTTTTTTTTCTTTTTTCCTTATTCTTAAGTTATTCAAAATGGCACCATTTCGTGGTGACAAGTGAAAGTTTTTCACTGTATTTTATTGTATTCTTACTGTAAAATACACCTGATAATAAAATCAAAATCAAATCCACCCCTTTGTTTTCTCTCCCTCTGGGCTCCATCTCCACGTATTTTTTACTCCTTAACCCATTTCCCAACCCCTTGTATTCAGCATATATACACCACCCTTCCTTAGCTACTATCAATTCTGAAGAAGGGTCACTGGACCCGAAACATTAACTCTGTTTTCTCTCCACAGATGTTGCTAGAGCTGCTGAGTATCTCCAGCAATTTCTCTTTTTGTCTCATAATTTTGTGACAGTTGTATTCCCATGCTTTAAATCAGATGTCATCAACTGGATATATTTATTCTGTGGCAGATGTTACACAATAACATATTCTGCCCCACTAGGATAACAGAAATTAAACTTGTAACTTCTTATGCTGTGCAACAATCACGTACTTGTTTTGAACTTGTTGGAGCTTGCAATGTCTCTACCACAACATTCATTTGATCAGAAATGATGTCATCACCATAGAATTTTTATTTTTAAAACATTTTAACAGAGATGATGTCACCATAACACATCCCTATTAATGGGAGTCAGTTTTCTTTTGAGAATTAACTTTGAAAAACCCTATACCCTGACTGTAGCACCACACCTTTCTTTCCACATAATTTGATGACACCACCGTGAATCATGATTCCTAGCTCTCTACCCTCAGGGTACTCTGCAGTCATTGAAGGACATCCACGACCCTGGCACCAGGAAGGAAATAAACAAACAAACCTGATTCTAGCCTGCACAAATGTTTATCAAATTTCTTATTACCATTGTTTAAAAGACATTTGGATAAGTACGTGAATAGGAAAGGTTTGGAGGGATCTGGGCCAGGAGCAGACAGGTGGGACTAGTTTAGTTTGGGATTATGTTTGGTATGAACCGATTGGACCAAAGGGTCTATTTCCATGCTGTTTGACTCCATGAGTCTTACAGTCTTCCTCATGCTCCCTATACAACTGAGCTGCTGTGCCATCACATGCATTATTATTCAGGACCGAATACTGTTTGGGGAATGAAATGCATTACTGCACTACCTGCCTATTTCTTCCTGATGTCTGGTGATCACCCATTGTCTCTCCCCTTGCATATGCTTAAGCTGCAGGGTGACCAGGTCTATAAAGTTGCTACCTACTCATGGATACATTGCATTCGTGCTTGAGCTGCAGCTGACATCAAAGTCCAAAGCTTGGGCTGCTGCAGCTGACAACATTTTCTGTATAAATGACTATCCAACACATAGGAAATGACCCAGAGTTCACACGTGGAACAGGTTATGCACTCTAAGGGTCAAAAGCTGCCCTTCCATTCATCTGTCAATTAATAAAAAAAAAACTAATAAAACTCACTAGATACTCACATTTTCTGTTGTCGTTAAACACTGAGAGGTTAATTGATTTTTTTTATTCTTGCATGATATATGGGTATCACTGGCGAGGCCATCATTTCTTGCCCATCCCTAAATACCCTTCAGGGGAGCTGCCATCCCGAGCAGTAGGTACACTCACAGTGCTGCTAAGAAGGAAGTTTCAGGATTTAGATCTAGTGCCAGTGAAGGAATGGTAATTTAGTTCCAGGTCAAGATGGTTTAGGGCTCAGAAGGGAACTTGTAGGTGGTGGTATTGCCAAGCATCCAATTCTTTTGTCCTGCTCAGTGGTAGAGGTCATGAGTTTGGAAGGTGCTGAAAAAAAGTCTTGGTGAGTTGCTGCATCTCTAAATGGTACACATTCCTGCCATAGTGCTTTCCTTAATCCTCATTATCAAAAATAAATGAAACTTTTAATTACCAAGCACCTTACACTAATTCCTTAACATTGGGGAAAGAGAACCAATGCCAAAATACTTTCTAAATGATCAACTCTCAGGCCTTCCTGTGACGTCAGGGATCTCTCTCTCTCTCTCTCCTGTCTTGTGTCAGTAATGCTGATCTATTTCACTCTACTTCACAGTGATTTCGACTAGTGTTCCGATGAATCTGACTTGCTTCCCAGTGACCACCAAGATTCTAGTGCTTAATCGCTAGCTCGTACTAATATTGTGGAAACTGCACTGTGCAAACATTGATTGAACATAAAGATATAGGTCAACTCCAGAAGCCCTTTGGTCATATTGTCTGTTGTTACTTACCGTCACTGCCCACTGCAGGAATGGGAAACAAAACTCTTGCCTCACACACAAAGCAACTAATGTTAATTATTGAAGAACTTGGCACAGCTTAAAACAACATAGAGTATTTTAAGATATGATATACTTGTTAACAATGGCACGATATGTGTTGCGAATGGACACAATTGGTGACTTGCCTGATCAGCTCACTAGTGGGATACAAAATGTACCTCTTCAAGTTATCAACTACATTGTTTATTTTGTAACAATCTGTTTCTGAAAATAGATCTTCAACTCCTAAAATATTTGCTGGCAAATTTCGTTTGCAAGACACTATAGAGACAGACATTTCATATTGCCTAATCTAAATATTTTTGGGAGACAATAGTACACCGGTACCAGTATTTATCTACTGCAATATAAGAAAGTATTTATTTAAGCTCCCTGGCCCAGACTTTACAGTGTAGTCTCAGTAATAAAGCCTTGCTTTTACCTGTACAGACTGTCCATCCAGGTAACCCCTAGACAACGCACAGGAACAAACTCCAGCAAGACTTTTGAAATGCGAGGATTGTAGAAGGAGGTAAATAACGTAAACCTCGGCAAAAGCAGCTCTTCAAAAAGTGGTCGCCGACCTCACCCGGTTGGCAAGGAGACAGCATGCAGGCAAACACAAGTTAGCCAATGCTCCAACTCCACTTCAGACTTGCTGAGAGAGGACTTTCCTAAACTCTTCCCCGAGAGCAACAGCAGCTCAATGCTGAAGCTGGTATTTCCGACACACCTCCTCCAACGCATTCTTCCAGCTTTTTTTTTAAAGGGAACGAATTCGATTTTCTTTGGCCGACTGAAAATGCCCTTAATGAATTCCTCCACACTGGGAGGCGGTAGATGTGAGAGAGAAAACAATTTGAGCCAATCGGTATTTGTTTTGCTGATTTCACATCGAAACATTGTCAGAAATTCATCAAAGTGAGCATTTCTGCACTCATGCTTTCAAAAAGTTAAAGCAATTAAAACTAAAACGATTTAAGTGAAATATCTTTAAAAATTAAGTCAAGAATAAACACGTTTCATGTATGCTTTGAAATTGGGATATTAAATTTGTAGTCATCATCAGCCATATTAGATGGGGCTTTTCTATTTTGCTAACATTAGAAATAAAGTAGTTTCTTTTGTCAAAAATAGAAACAGCTGGAAAAGCAGGTCTGGCAGCATCTGTTTACAGTGGAGTGACCCTTACTCAGCCAGAGATGCTACCAGATCTGCTTTTCCAGCAATTTCTATTTTTGTCTCTAATTTACATCATCTGCAATTCTTTGGGTTAGTTTCTTTTATCAAAGTGCGTCAATAGCTATTACTACTATTTAAAACATTAGCTGTGGAAAAAATGAAACATTGTTCAGACTATTCCACAGATGCTACCTGACATACTGAGTTTCTTCAGCAATTTCCATTTATGTTTCAGATTTCCAGCATCCAGCAATCTTTGTTTAATTTGTTCAGACTATTTTCTGGGTTTCAGCAAATGCCTTGAGAATGTTTTGCAGTCTAATAAATGACCCTTTCTCATGTCCCAACAGAGACTAACACCTTAAAAAAATTTGCATTCCCAGTGGCCAAATTAAAGGAATTGCAACAACTAGATTTCAAGTTTTACAACCTTTACCATAACAAAAACCAACGTCAAAAGCAACAACCACCAAATATCATTTAATAGGAGCTATTACTCAAAACTACAGAAAAAATATATCTTATTAATGCTGTAAAATGAGAGATAATCACGCAGATACACACAGACACACACACACGAGCGTGCATATAACACATATTGCATAGGATTGAAGTCTTTGTAGGAAAAAGTCCAGATTCTAATAGATCCACATCCCTTGCTTGGCCAAGTTGTAGTGTTGAATGACCAATGAAAAATGATTCACTTTGTTTTTGGAGAAGTTTCAAATTAAATATCAGCAATGAGGCAAGGACAAATCTTCCAGAGTCTTAAAATGTCACAGGACATATCTAATTCACCAGAAAAACTGCCGTCCCTCCCACATTCTGCATGGTAGCTCACAATCTTATGACTGAGTGCACTCCAGGAGTGCACTATCACTCTGATTCCACTAGTCATGGGTCACACCATAAATGTTTTTGCCCCTACCAAGATGGCTAATTCAATGGAAAAATTCAGCAGTTCTGAGGAAGGGTCCCAAAAGTTGACTCTGTTTTTTCCTTCACAGATGCTGCCAGACCTGCTGAGCTTTTCCAGCAACTTTTTTTTGTTCCTGATTCACAGCATCTGCAGTTCTTTCAGTTTTTATTGGCTAATTCAATGCCTTATCTATAACAAGTAACATTGTAGACACAATCATAGCTTATTATCAAAATGAAACTTATTCAATAATCTGCAATTATATACATCATTAATATAGAAGTACAGCTTGTCCTCTAAATATGTCCAAAACAAACAGGCAAACACCTATAGACACACATCAGGAAATGAGGAAAAAACAGATTTCTCTGCAGAGCTTGGCTTTCTGGGGAAGAAAAATGACCAATGAGTTATTCTTGAAGACAAAAGGATAAAGTGTAGGATGTTCTAATGGATCTTGCTCTGATGTTCTGGCCCATGTGCTCAAGTCACTGATCATGCACAGTTGTCTCTGGAGTCTTACAGACACAGCTTGCTCAGGAATACATTCTTGAGCTGTTCGTAATCACTGTTTCAAAAGAACAAATTGGTTTCAACCTGAACCGATTTAAAGAATTTTCTTTTCAGTAAATGAGAAAGGTCAGCTCTACACCTTGTTTATTGCAAGTTTCCTCAGACTCAACCTAGTTCTTAGCTTCTGTCCAAGTCGACAAGATAAAACAAGAACCTTTCCAAGCCAGCAGCTGTTCGTAACAGTCTCAAGCAGGGTCTATATCAAGGCAAGCAGTCATGTGATATACAGAAAACTTTGTTTAAAAAATACATTCCAGTGACAAAGTGACCTTTCAATGACGACGTTAAAGAAATCATGTCAGCCACACAATTTGAAATAAATTCCCTTTTCTATGATCCTTCAATATCTAAATCCTTCTTACAATTTTAATTATAAAACATTTATTTAACAATAAAGACTTACAGTCCCCTTCTCTCCATTGATCACACCAACTGCAGCCTTTGCCTGTGTGAGACCTCTCTCCTCCCTTTCTGTGCAAGAGTATGGAGACCAAAAGTCTGTCCATAGTTAGCTCAGCTGCTCCTGCCTTTGTTTTCAGACATGAATGTTTTGCACCTTACTCCCAATAAATCTCAACCTGCATTCCCTGTCCCATCATTAACCCAGCCACCCAAGCTTGTTGATGGGCAAAAATTGAAGCAGACAACATGACTCTCTTCATCCCTCCATTTTGTGTTGAATTAAACAGATGGTTTAAAATATAATATTCTTATAAATCTTTGTATTCACAAGGGCCTCAATTGACATAGGGTGGGAAGGCCCTCCATGAGCATCCTTCATTGTGGCAGAAGCAGAAAGGTGATGAGATCCTCACCTGGCACCATCCCAGTTGATTAAATCCCTCACCCACCTCCAAACCTACTTTGGGCGCAGGGTGTTGAATTCCACTCCATGTTTTAGGAAAATGGTAGACAGTGTTATGTTTGCTCAACTGATACAATGTTGCCTTTGAAAGAGGATGAGTATGTTCAATCTCCACTGCAAATCCTGAGCATGCAATCCAATGACAACTGTACAGTACAAAGAAAAAGGTGCTGCCTTTTGAATCTGAGTTTCATAAGTAGATGTTAAAGGTTACAAAGGTAAACCTGCTGTCCACATGAACATTGTTCTCACAATCATCATTACCAAAATTAGTAATTTATCTATCTGTTTTGTAGGAAAGAGTGCCTGCCCAATTTGCCTACACAGAACTGTGTAAATATCTTGAAACACTTCATACCATGTAAAGTGCTTTGAGATATAGCAAGATACTTAGAGAATATACGTTGGCTTGTATAAATTGAAGTGTTTATTTATTTAATATATATTGACTTCTCTTGGATTCTATACAGAGAGTAAACCAATTTGAGTTAACACACTATGTTATGCATTTGCAACTTCAGCACAAAATGGGAAGAGAATGATTGATACGCACAATAAACCTGTTTTACTAGTTCCTTTAGGAACTGCTGAGGCATTTGAAATGTTTTGTGATGATGAGGTTCACCTGCCAGAACAAGGAATAAACACATGCCCCAACCTGCATTTGTCCCAGCCTTCCCAACATGTGCAAGTCTGTATATTCTGAGTAGTGACATTACAGCAGGGAGGTGGCCACAGAAACCACTTGAAATGTTTCAGAGATAGTAGGAACTGCAGATGCTGGAGAATCTGAGATAACAAGGTGTAGAGCTGGATGAACACAGCAGGCCAAGCAGCATCAGAGGAGCAGGAAAGCTGACGTTTCGGGCCTAGACCCTTTTCTGAAGAAATGTTCATCTGTTGGCACTAAATTATTTAACTTTATATTTTTAAAACAAAAACAAGCAACAGATTTGTCATTTTGCATGTACCTGCTAGAAGACTCTCAGATCCCTGGGCCCAAATGACAATGTCATTCTTGGCACAGGTAGCAGAATGTGTTCATCTGTAACTTCATATGTCATCCTTGAAAAAAAATTAGCAAGATTGGAAGGATGTCAATCTATTAGCATAAACCGGTGGGCTACTGCACCATCAGTTATGCCTCTTGAGTGTGCTGATGTATCATTTCTGATCAGAAACCACCCATCATGTTGGGTCTGGTAAGCCAATACTAAAGCCCTCCTTGGATAACAGAGTAGAGAGCTGTCTTTTTAAGAGGATTGATAAAAATGACCACTTTTTGTCTATCTATGACAATCTATTACAAAATTATTTGACACACACAGACACCACAAACCACATAGAACATTTGCTCAATCAGAACAAATGCATAAAATTAGCACATCTCATTTCAGCTCTGAGGAAGGGTCATTTGATCTGAAGTGTTAACTCTGATTCCTCACTAGTGATGTGGCCAGACCTGCTGAGCTTTTCCAGCAATTTCTGTTTTTGTTTTTGCTTTACAGCATCTGCAGTTCTTTCGGTTTTTATATCTCATTCCACGCTGCATGGGTAATGATGTCTTCACTGGATGAAGTCACATCTCTTCTAGTGGAAATGGTTTGCATAATGGAAATCTTACTCTGAAAAGTAAGGACAAAGCACATCAGATGATGCATGAAATGTTAATAGTTTCTTAATAGGTTTTCTATATGTCATTTGCTGTTGTTTCTCTTATGCTACAATGATTAATAAACATTTTAAAACTTCTTAATAGAACGGATGAATCTTGAAAAGATGTCAAAATGCATTCATTCTGTATTGTTCTTCCTATCTTGAAGGTACAATCCATCTACTTTGTAGAGATGAGCTCCTGAGTCTCACTCAAGTAGCTTTGTTTTAACTTGCAAAAGGGTTGGTGTTGAGGTCTATGCAAGCATTTAAACACACAGCTAAGAGTGCCATTGTTTCAGAAACCTTCCAACACCCACATTTAACCAATGCTTTTTTTGAAGGTGTGCAGGAAAACTCTTAGGATAGTTGGGACAATGGAATGATGATTGATTTAAAGTAACTGAATGACAGTTTAACCCTGCATTTTGGCTACTGCATAGGTTTTCCAAACTGTGTGAAAGTCACCAAAGTCAGAAAGGTGCAACACAGTGGAATAACAGGGCTGACAGGCTGGAATGCCTTCAAATAATGAATCAGGACAGATGC